CGATTAATTTTGTGGTATCTTTTTCTTCCATTTCAGTCTAAAACGCTATTTTTTTACATTTACATTTCGTTTTTTCGAAATTTATTCAGTACAAAGAGGTAGTTAAGAAAATATGTATCCAAAGGGAAAATATTCTTTATTAGTTGACTGCAAAGCACCTATTACTTAAAAAAGAAAAAAATATTGTTATTGTTATGCCCGATCATTTTTGTAAGACACTGTATCTATTTCAACCGCTCTCAAAACCATTCGAACGATGTTTTTGCGTGACATATGTACGTACAGGCAGAATAAAGGACTGTTTTTGCCAAAAAGCATTGTAAATTGGTTTTAAAATGGTGGAAATAATGAAAATGCTCTTAAATTTGAACCATATTTCCAAGCTAATATCAAGGAATCTCAGATTTATTCTATGAAAAACCATACAAGGTACAAAAAATCAGTATTGTAAAACGTTAAGCAAATTTAGAAGAAACTCTTGCAATAAAACTTAATTTTGAATTTTTTAAAAGAATCAATTTGAGTCACATGGATACAATGGGGGATCAGTATAAGAAAGAAATTTTTCATCAAGGGAAAACATGAAATATATCCTTGGCATTAGCAAAATCTGTAGTAAGTAAAATTTTATTACATTGGAACACTGTTATATTTTCAGAAATACATACTAAAATTTATTACACTTGGGTCTGATAGACGATATGTGGCAAAATCTAAATTTATTCTTGAATTCGAAAAACCTTTTGCTTAATGTTACGCACAAGGGTACAGGCATAATGGTTCGGGGAGGTTTCTCTGCCTTTGGAATAAAAAATTTAGTATTTATCGAAAATAATATGGATTAATATAAATATATAAATATTCTTAAGCAAAACCTAAAAGCAACTGCAAGAATCTTTGGAATGCAAAATACATTCAAGTTTCATCAGGATACGATCCTAAACATACAGCCCTAAATGTTTGCTCATAGTTATACGACTGTCCTGAAGTTATCAAAACTTCTCCATATATAAATCCTATGCTGCATGTACGGAGTGAGTTGGAGAAAAGAATAAGGAAGCATGATAATTTTTCGAAATCTGTACTAAAACCAGTTCTCGCATAATAATGGAACATTCTTGCAGGAAAAAATTAGTTGAATCCATGCCAAAGAGCATGAAAAGTGTCATAAAGCTAAAAGATAACCAATGAAGTTGTAGAGACATTAGGTTATTTTGAAGCAGAAGTACAAGAAAAATGAGCAATGCCCTCCCCGGGACTCGAACCTGGACTTCTCGCATACGCGCCGAGTGTGCTACCGTTACACTACGAAGGCATGCGGAAAGCTAATCCATTTTAAAGGGCGACTGGGGATTAGGAGACCCATTCGCCAAACCCTGGTGGTGACGTCCATCACCTTCTTTTAGTTCGGGGTGCGAATGGCGAGACATTAGGTTATTTTGAAGCAGGAGATATGCAAAATGAGCAGTGCTCTAGCCCGGGTTCGAACCTGGACCTCTCGAATACGCGTCGAGTGTGTTACCGTTACACCGTGAAGGCATGCGGAAAGGAGGGAGAAAATTAATAATTAAAAACCTAGCTTTAAAAAAGACACCAGGCCCAGATGGCATCGATAATCACATTATAAAATTAATCAATCAATTCCATCCTGACATAATCTGTAGTTTTCGCAATCGATGTAACAAAGTTCTGGACCTTTCCTGAAAATTGGTAATATAATACTCTTCAATAAGAAGAATAAAAGCTTCGATAACCCTAAATCTTATCGTCCGATAAATCTTCTCCCAGCCCAGAGAAATGTTTTGGAGAGATGTCTCATTGGCCGCTTAAAATTTCATGTTTACAGCAAACACTTAATAAGCAATAACCAGTTCGGATTTCGAAGCCTACTTTCAACAAGCCATGCAATTAATTCAACTGTTCAACAAGTCAGAAACAGTAAAATCAACTAACTTCATTCTGCAATAATATGTCTTGACTTAAAATCAGATTTTGATTCTTTATGATGGTCAACGGTTTTACAATCTCTCTGTTGCTTTAAGTGCCCTCAAAATTTATTTCTAATTATTCAAGATTATTTAAGAAACAGGAAAAGTATGATTCTTTACAACAACACTGAAATTGTGCGTAATCAAGTCAAAGGATGTTCCCAAGGGTCTTTCATGAATGCAGATCTCTAGAATATCAGTTTCAACAACGTCATTGCCTATCCATAGCCAGAACACTCAAACATTGTCGCTTTTGCAGACGATATTGCTCTTATTACAAGCGACCATACCAGAGATATTTTACAGAATAATTGCAACGAAACACTTTTTATTATTTATATATATTTAATCTATTTAATCACCTTTGCCAAACTCAAAAGCTGCAAATCTCACATAGTAAGTCTCAAATCTTAGTTATCCATAAGCCAGGGCAAAATATAACTAAAGGCCTTAGCTCTAAAAATTGATAATCAAAAGATCGAATTTGTGAATACAGTCAAGTACCTTGGGTTAACAATTGACAAGAAATTCTCCTCATCTTCAAAATATTAAACTTCATGCAACATCAATAGCTAACTACCTACGACGTATGCATGGATATAGCTGGGGATTAAATCCCCATATAACACAGGTTCTCCTAAAAACAGTCATATCAAAAATAGTAAATTACGGAGCCGGAATTTCGGCACAACCGATGACAGTGAGAAAGATTAAAAGTTTAAATTCAATTCAAAGGCCTTTTACTCTTTGCATTACTCGGGCATATCACACAACTTCAAATATAGCTCTTGATACTAGTACTCTTCCATTATGAATCAGTGCAGAAATAGAAAGCTAATATATGAAAGTCTTTCAACTTAACCAAGCTGCAGAATTTAATAATCAAACCTTCTTGATATCGAACTATATAAAAAGAAAATTAACCCCAATGTTATCCATCCAGCGCTTCGCCTCAGCAAAATAAAATTCCCCGTGTCTGACGAAAGTTTAAGTAGTTCATCTCCATTTGCTTATACTGATGGATCAAAAACAGAAGGAAAAGCTGGTTCATCAATCTATTTTCAAATTTGCGCCTTCAAATATCATCAAATAGAAAGGCCATTTCCACAATAATAACAGTGTTTTCCAAACAGAATTATCTGCTATAAAAGCAGCGATTGAAATAGCCATTCTCAAAAATCTCAACGAATTTACCATAAAATCTGACTCCCAAGCAGCTATTTTAGCGGTTAAGAATCCCATACCTTCCTCTTCATTGGTTTCTGACATAAATTTTTTTCTTGGCAAAATTCGAAACTACAAAATCAAATTCCGTGGATCAAAGGATATAGAGGCCATTTTGGTAACGATCATGTAGATGAATTAGCCAAAGAAGCAGCTCTTAATTAAGATGGTATTGAAATCGTTATTCTATTGCCTCGCTCATATTTCAAGTTCCAACTAAAACAACTTGTTTTATAGTCTTGGCAAGATTTGTGGAGCAATGCTCCACAGGTAAGACAAACATATAACTTAATCCCCAATGTAAGTTTCGCATCTCTGTACGCCAATCCTTCATTAAATTACTATATAAAAGGACACAGACCCTTCCCTACATATTTCCATGCAAGAAATATGGCGAACTCCGATATCTGCATATGTGAGGAACAAGGAACTCCTGATCATTACACTTTCTCATGCCCCTTATCTGAGGATATTCACATAAAATCCCCACAAACTTATCTGCTGGCATTCAAAAGGTTTCTAAAATGATAAACATCAGTATCCGAAGTTTCAAAAAAAATATGGAACGTCTCTCTTCCTACGGCTTAGATCTCTGTCAAGTTCTCATACTGTATAAATTTAGTAAACTTTTACATGCTGTGAAAAAAAAAAGACACCACTTGTGAACTTTATAAACTGTAATAACCTCTTATATCTGAAATAATAGATGAATACCTACCTCTTTAGTATTATTATTACAGTTCATTATTTCATTGTAACATTTTGTTTCCAGTACTTATTACAGTTATCTCATTATGTTTATCTGTACACTAATTATGTTTATCTCTTATTTTTGTTGCACCCAAAGAGATGTTCAATTTAATTTGTGAATTTCAAATTGTATTGAGACTATATTGTAATCTCTTTATGTCCTAAATCATTATTTTTAATAAATACTGAATGCGGGGCGTACGGTGGGATTGCACGATGTACCATAATAGACACACTCTAGATCATCTGGAAAGCTTCAGTTGCCCAATTCCTCAATCCTTCTTTGTAAATTCTTATAAAACTTGCAATTTTTTTTATGCTTTAGTGTGGGAAGGCACTACCAGTTGACCCATGGTACATCGTTGCTGTCCGCCCTACTTTTACCTGTACATGTACCTGTTTTTGTTAAATGTAAATTGTTTATTCAAAGTGTCCGAATACTTATGTGAGTTCATTTTCAGAAAGTTTTGAATAAATTCTTTTTTTTTTTTTTTTTTTTTTTTAAGCAAAAACGTTTTGAACAACTTTTTTTAAAACAAGCAGGCTTTAAAATATATACTCAATAATTTATATGAAAGAATAATAAAATCATTTTGCTAATAAATGATATTTGCAAATAAAACTGAAAAATACAAGGGTCCGAAAACAAACGTGAGCCGCTCTATAATTTTAGTATTCCGAATTAAACAATAATTTATTTTAACATTTATAGTATGATTTTAATTAATAAAAGATACATCTAACGCCATACAGTCTGTATATGGTAAAGAATTATTTGTATTTAATTCCCCCCCCCGGGTTCTCATATTAACCAACCCCCTAAAACAACACTTTTCTTATTAAAGTATTATTCAATGAATGATTTATAAACATTTTGCGTATATAGTGCCTTGACATTGGAAAACGTTTCGTAAGTATTTAACTATATCTTGAGAGCTTTGTTATAGAGTTACATTGTTATAGTCACATAGTTAACTATAACTAAAAACATTTCATGATCAGAAATATTATTGATTGGTTAATTTGAAAATGTCTTACAAATCTTACTTGAGAGTCATTTGTACCACGTGAAATTTTATTCTGGCTGTCGTTAAGGTCTTTTTCATTCGCCTTTTTTGTTAACCTATAAAGAGACATTGATTTTTTCTCAGTTATGATGTACAACGTGAATAGATACTTAGTAAAATAGTTTATTATCTTGAATATTAACAAGATTTTAATAGTTATAATATAAGAACACGTATATGTAAAATTGTTATTTCTGTTAAATTAGTAAATAGGAAACATTTAAATCGGAGTATTATAAAATTTAAAACTGAAAAATATTTCTGAAGTATTTTTCTTTTAATACATTACTTTTTAAAACATTGTACTTTAATTATAGCACACGTTGGCGCATACCCGTTAAAAATAATTAAATATAAATTAAAATCATGTATTTGGTCGTTATAAATGAAATGGCTATTGAATGACATCAGGTTGCTTCTAAGAAAGCAAGCGCTGAAATTAATGCAAATTTGAGTTATGTGACAGCGTGGGTGATGCAATTGTAATGTTTGTTTCATTTAACGAGCATAAAACATTGAATACGAAAGATATCAAGTCAATCACGGAGATCATTAAATTAAGATTGCCATATTTTTAGGAGTTCAGTGTGGGAAATACTGAAACAGCTGCAGTTCAAAAAAGCACCAATAATAAGTGGAGGAACAACTAATGAGATCCATTGGATCTTAGCTTTACCCACTGGACTCCTAAGTTTCACTTACTAGTGATGAAGGTATGAAACAAATTCCGTGATCATCGCCCTTCCTCTTTTGATTAGTATACATTGAAAAATTTAATCGAATCAGATCCACGAAAATCTTTAGAAGAGACCAACTAGACACTAAATGTATACTTTTCAACTGTTTCACATCGCTTGGCAATAATAGAAAAAGTAAGGAAGCTCGATAAATGGGTGTTGCACGAATTCCCAGAAAAAAAATAAAGTGTTCGGAAGAAGGCTCTTCTAACTTAATAAAAAAAAAATGAAGCGTTTCCTATAACGAATAATGCTTATGGATAAGAAATGGATAATCTACGATCATCATACGGGAGTGAAAGACGCTCCAGGAAGAACATTGAAGACACAACTGCATCCAAGAAGAATGTTAACGCTGTAGTGGTTTCCTGCTGATATTATTCACATCTAATACCTTCCACGAGGTGAATGGCAACTGCAATTCGATATCGTACAGATATGCGGCGAATGCATAATAATCGTACCTTAAACGAGTGGTCTCAAACTGTCGGTCCCCGAGGGAATTTTATTTAGCTTGCGAAGAATTTCAGTTATTGTTGCAAATACAATGTTACAAAGATTTCAAGATTTTAATTATTCGAAGTCCGAGTATATATTATTTTCCTGACCGCTGAAAACTAATATGAATAACGCATCAGAAAAGCTATAAATGGAAGCTAATTAACTTGGAGCGGGATATAAGTCTTATCAAAGAGTTGGAGCTACAGATTTCATTAACGTTTGGTCATACTTGTCAAAAAATAAATTAATTAGTTATGAATTTTCGCACTAAGAATTTCTTTGTTCCGGAATGCATTCATATGTGAACAGCCTTTTTTCGGAATTGAAAATTAGTAAGAAAAAAATCCGATGCTATATATAAACCAAAACGCCATCAAATGTCAAGCTGTAGTAAGAAATAAAAGAAGTTTATAATTATTTAAATACAAACATATGTATTTTTATTTATACGTCGAAGAAAAAATTAACAAATAAAAAGAGACTAAGTTATTATTTATTCTCGAGTTTTGTCCCACTTTGTCAAATGTTCTCTGAAAAGTTAAGAAAGTTTTCACAATTTCTTTCAGTTTAAATTAATGTAAGGTAGTTAATGATTTATTAAGCATGTTAGAACTATTTTAAATAAACGTAAGTCTGAAAATTTAACTTTCTGATCTCAAGGCCTTTTTCGTTCGGGCGAACCAGCAACTCAAGACGAATTTTCGCATATTTGGTGGATTTCTTGCAGCTAACTTAAAATGATTTCACCCACTCTGTCTGAAGATACTTGTGGTTCTGCCACTCTTTCGCTAGATACAAATGGCATTCTTTGCGATATTTCGTCAGATTCTGTGCACGTTATTTATTCTGAATTTGCTGCCTCTTCTGCGGAATCACTGTTGCTTTTACATTCACTATCTATTAGCCTGGTTTTCCCCTTCTTACATCTCTTACTTCTTACACTGCTTTTCTCCGCTCTCTCTCCTTAAGTTTTCTATGCAGAGATGCAGTTTCGCTCTTATTTCAATTCCTATTTGAACTAAGATTAACTAACTTGTAGGACACAGAATATCGTTCACGGGAGAGGGCTTTCGTCAACTGGTATGGGATACGCTGAACGAGATAAAACTTACCATTACTGTTTTAATGCTATCCATAATAAATTAAAGTTCTGGAAGATCCGAAGTCCTTAGAAAAGCAGAGGTGAAGGTTACTGCTCATTATATACACATACCTGTCGTGAAAACGGGTTACCAATCAACTGAGTGTCGGGCAAACATACCAGACTCTTCATTTCTATACCTTTTGTAGAATATACAGAAAATGATACAAATCGTTACAGACTTATATTTCATAACTCTTGTGAGTTCACAGGTTCAGTGTCTAGCAATCAAAATTATACAGGTAAGATAAAAGTCAAATTTTATTTTGTGATTGTCTCTAAAGTCTCTTTTCTTATTTTGATTATTTCCGCTTACTATCTAAAATAATAGTAAAATCCTTATAATAATTCTTTCTAAAGTGGGTCATTACAATTTAGTCTTGTAATTTGATTCTTATATAATGCAACTGACACATGTACTTACATATCCGTAAAAGTAACATTCTTTTATCAAATTACTATCAAACCGAAAATTTTAACTAAACAGTATAAAAGCGATGTTGTTTCTCTGTTGGAAATTAAAATAGATTGCCATTATCCTGCTAGCATACAGACCGCAGGTTTTGTTATCGATTTTAATGCTACAAGATGTGAGGTATACGCTTGTTGTTGTGGAATTCAGGATGCATCTGTCTCTATGCTTGCATTGTTTAGTTTGTGTTTCAGTTTAATGTTTAAATTAAAAGCATGTCCGTATTTTCTTTCAATTAGAAGTGCAAATCTCCACCGTAAACATTATCCTTCTTCTTCACCACTCTAAAAGTTTTACTACATAAAATTGCTGGAATACTAAAGTTAATAATACACATAATTTAATAACAGGTCCATGTGATTTACATTCCAACATTTATTAGCATTTCATTATCATAATAAGAAAAAGACACATTTCTCAAAATGTCCCGATTTCACTAAAATGTATTCCTTAAATTATAAATGAATCTAAAAATATTAGAAAGAGTATCAATGCATTCACGTTACATAATTACAATATTACACTTGTTTACCTCACGATATTTGATTTACAAACGTCCGTTCCATTAGCTATTGTTTTCATGGTATTTTTGCAAATTTCACCATTAGTGAGGCTTGGGGTATATGGTGGCGGAGGATCATCTTCATAACCCGATTTTTTACTTAGCCTGTCCAATGATGTTCTAAAAAAATTAAAATATGGTTTTAAGATATATATAGAAATAAATATTTACATTCTAACAAAAAGTGAAATTTTTTACTACTTATTAAAATATATTGTATAGAAATGAAAGCTGAAATTTGACTCAATTATTTAGATCTCAAAATGGCAAGTTTAATGCTTCACTTTTCCCAACTAATCTGTATACATAAATTTAAGGACTTTGCGAGAACCTTTATAAAAAAATTAAGGATAATTTCATATACTGGTCAAATACAGTGATGTTCAAAATTAAGAAAATGTTCATATTTTTGTGAATTTCTAAAACAATACTTGACCAACTTGGAAAGCGGCCAAATAATAATGCAATAGCGTTGCTGTCAAATAGATAATTATAGTCGTACATATAGGCGGCACTGTGATTACGGTTAGAAGTTTTAAATATGATTCTTTCCTAAACGAAGAATTCAGTTAATTACCCTAGAAAGCGCGAATAGCGGTAATCCAGACAAATAAATCTGTGCCAAAGAATAAAATTATTCGCTCTTGCTTCATTCAAACTCTTCGATGAAAGAGCTCAGTGTAACGCCTAGTGTCATCTGCAATTTGTAAAACTGTATCCAGAAAATCAGATCCATATCCAGAAGTCTTCTGCAAAGGCATCCAAGAGTCGCGATGTTCGATGAAGGTTAGTATTTCACACTTTCAGCAAGGTGCGAGAGGACTGGTATTCTCTCTTGCCACCGAAAAAGCCACTAATTTCTCTGCTGGAACCTTGATTTCAAACGTTTTTCTTTTTAGAAATATTAATAACAGAGAGCCTTTTTATCAGAAGACTCGCTGTTTGCGTCTCGCTCGCTTCCTCACACAAGACATCACATCTGACATAGTGCAGAACTATGCACCCAAATTTAGTAGGCCCAAGTTCTCTTCAATGCCAAGTCTAGATTCAGCCTAGATCTTGATTTTCGGTACTCTTCAACTCAGGAAAACTGAGATACAATATAATTCCTTTAACATCAGGGAAAGGTAACACTATGAGGGCAGAGATGTTTTGGTCTTAGATAGAAACATACTGGATGGCCGTACATCATTCTTTGTGTTTGACAGAGGTTTCCACACTGCTCAGAAATAAAAGAAAGATCTTAAAATACTGTTGCTACATTTTAAGGGCTAAATGCATGATACATGATGCAATAATAGAAATTCTAATTTGGGCTAACCTCGGACTGTTATAAATTCCTGAAAGTAACGCCACAGAAAGCAAATCACCTTGGAAAACTATCTGAAAATGAGCGATCCACTGAAAAATATGGAGATAAAAGGGGATGGCCATGGTTACGTTACTTTGAAAATCCACTAGGAAGTCAGAGAGATAAAAATGTAAACGATCGAACAAGAAAGACCACATGTTGAGAAGAGGTTATGTCATAACCGGTGAGAATGAGAAATCCTATGCGCAACATACAACATGCATTTTAAACAAAGTAGTCCAATGTCAAAATAAATAACAGATTCTCAGCAGAAGAAATCTATTTACAAAAGCAGAACACAGATACTAAATATGAAATAACATGGAAGTAGTAAAATAAGCAAACTATACTAGCGAAATAATAAAATATGTACCAGATATTTAAAAAGAAGTACAAAATACGCAGCAGCCCCGAAGTTATTACGAAAAAGATGCAATGCAAATCGTCTGAATAATTTGCTTTCAAGTAAAATCTAGTAGTTGAGGAAGAAGTTATTCTGCAGTCCAAAGCTTTCCTGAAATATGTTTCGTTACAGCGACGAATATAAAATTGAAGTTATCGCTTCAATTTTGAGATCTTGGTGTATGAGTTAATTTCCCACATGGAAAATAGGCACTTGCCATAACTCTTAGACCTTTATTTTGCACAACCTGCACTGTCAGTTAAAGTTGGAGTCTATAGCTTCGGCCCATGCCGGGAAGATATAATATAAAGGTAGTTTATTAATCAACAGGTAGATTATATACTTTTAAGTTATAAGGTATTTCTCCCGCCTTCTTAGCGTGCCTTTATGGTGCAGTGGTCTGCACGCTGGGCGAGTATTCCGTGGTTCGATTCCCGGCGAAGGCGTTGCTCATTTTTCACTTCTCCTGCTTCCGAAAAAAAAAAAAAATCCTAATGTATCTACAGTGGTAAAATATTAGCTTTTAAGTAGTAGATGATACGTTGAGTTTGCTCCGAGAAGCGGTAGCAGATGTTTGATAAAGCTGGTGACTTTTTCAGTGACATTGGTCATATGGTTGGACCATGTTAATCATTAATTTATATTGAATTTTAGATAGTTGACATAATTAACAGCAGACAGCAGATGGCTTAATAGAAATAACTGTTATAAACAACAAATTGTTTCTTTTTCGTGGAATGATTATTAGCTGATGTTCTGATGCATTGATTTTTAGTCTACAAGTCCTACACCAATCCTTGATATCGAACACATTACCTTGAAGTTTGGCGATAGCATAATAAGTTGCAGTGACTTAATTACAATAGCCGTATCATTGGCGTAGCAAGTAAGGAGCAAATTATAGATGGGAAAGTCTGTCGTATAAAACAAATAAAGGATCGTTCCGAGGGCACGAATCTTGTAGAACTCCTGCAGTGACTTTGCGAAGAGAAGAAAAATTTCCACCTTGGTAAACACTGAAAGTCTATCACTTAGAAGGAATTTTGTAAGCGGAATATGCTGCCTTCGAAATTAGAGCTTGGTAAGTTTGCAGATTAATCCATTATGCCAGATGCGGGCAAGAGGGATGAAGTTTGCCCTCATTTCCTTTTCTGTGGACTACAATGCTCTTCCACATTCGGCTCAAATGGTGGATTAATTTTTTAGAGTTAGAATATTCGGCAGATAATTGGTCGAGCAGATCACTAGACATAAATCCAACTGAACTGTTATGAAGCAGTTAAAGGACAACTGCAGTTTTCCAAACACCTGCCAGAATCACCCAAGAACTAAGAGCGTTAGTTGGCGTTTAACTTATTTAGAGTGGGTGTAGCTGTAACAGTAACTCAACTGCCTCGTTAAACAATATAACAACTCACTCTATGACTTATATGTCTGTTACAGGTAACTAACTATATCACCTCTTAACCTCATTTTAGGTTCTATATTGCAACGTCAGTTGTTGATATTCTGTATCATGAGTGGGTACATTTTACTGTCTTATATTACTCTGTATCCGTACCAAAACTCTAGTATTTTTTGAGAAACTAATGGGGAAAAATTTTCTCTTTGAACATAAGTGTATATATTATAAGTTAATATGACAATGTGAAAAAATTGAAGTAAAATGATTTTTAAAAATCTACATTCTGCATTAATAGAGGGCCATATACTGTAAATTCTCACCTAGAAGATACTTTTGCTACTTTATACCTTGGTCTTCCGGATGCTGGAGAGTAACGAATTTTGTAAACACTGCTCTCAGATCTGAAATAAATAAAGTACAACAAAATTTCTTTCAATCACATTAGAAGTATTTTATTTGGTAGTAATATATAGCATAATTTCGTTTGGAATGGGTACAGTAAAGTAGAACGATAAATTTCTAATACATGAGTTACACAGCATAACATAATAGGAAAAGTGATAAATTACTAAAAGAGTTAAATTCCATAACTTAATACTCATGCAAATGTAGTTTCCTGGAATGAGTTTCTGCAAAATACAAATTTTAACTATTAAATACGAATTACGTGATAAGTTAATATATAATAATTATTCACCTCTAAATATTTCTGTAATTTCTTTTGCTCTGTCACTCTACAGCGACTTGTTTTTGCTTAAATACTAGAGAACTGCAGGGACTCAACATCGTGCAACCTCGACAACACGAGTCATTTTTCAAACGCTTCGATGTTTCTTTTAGAGATTTTGCAGCAAAATTCCGCATTCCTGCAGAAATTTTTTACCACAGTTTCTTCCAATACTGGCAGATCCCACAAGCATATATTTTAAAATTACATTTAAGGTAAAAAAAAAATATCACGATTTGTTTAAAAACCTTTGGAATGGAACAAAAGGAACGCATAAGATTCTCATGAGCATGGTTACCTGAAGAATGGCTATGCGCATGGATGCCAGAGTTTGGCCCATTCTGGAAATTTAACTACTTCTGATTGCGATAACACTTAAATATTATAAAAATGAATTCTATTGTTTTAATTCAATTGAAATAGGAAACAGTTGTGCATTTAGACGGTTCGAAAATAATTAAATTATTTTCGTCAATGAAAGTGTATTTGATTTTATAATTTTTTTTTAATGTAGTATATCATTTGGTAGAATAAAATATGATGATTGAAAAAAAAATAAAACTTCTTCACTTGCATTATAGTAAATACGTATTTGAACTACAATAAGAAAACTTAATTACTATCTGAGTCTTTTGAATATCTAAGTGAGCTCTGAATGAGCAATGATGCCATTTGATGGTTTATTGCAAAATAGAAAATGTGTAACAAAGTCATAAATATGATTGTTATATATGATTGTTATTTTTATGGAAAAGAAAAGGAATTATTAATTTTACAAGAACAAAATACATTTAGACAAGAATTCTAAACAGACTTACTCGACTTTTGTATACTTAATGTCTCTACGTTCTTCTTCAGTCAAATTTGTTGGATCTATTAAATGATACCTTTAAAAAATAAATAAATAAATAAATAAAATAAATAAATAAATAAATAAAAAATAAAAAAAGACAAAGGGAAGAAAAATTAATTTTGCATCAACACTGATATTTATGAAATCTTTATTTTAAAATGAGCAAAAACTGGAGATTAATTTTTAATTTAATTTTAAATTTACTAACCATATTTTAAATATAAATGTTTTTTCTTTCATTCCAATTTTGTCTTTTCTTTCATTTCCTATTTCATTCTATTTTTCGTGTGTTGTTTACATACTTTTATATTCTTTTACATGTTCCATAATGACTTAACAGTGGTCGAGCCGTAACATCGCTTAGTACTGGTACTTAAAACTCGGACTGAAAGCCAGTGAACGAGTTGACTGCATGGGAGTTTTCGCGGTTTGCCTCATATGCAACTTAAGTCTTCTACGAAGTCATAATACCTCTCCTCTGGCAGATAGCCCTCGTGCGCTTTATCATAATCCAAATAACATAACCATATCTCATAACACATAAAGCAATTAAAAAAGAATGAACCTCTTTGCACATTTAGTAGTTTATTTAAAACTACTAAACTATTATTACATTATTTAAAAGAACAAAAACTGTTTATTTTTGCTAGAAGGAAAAAGATTCATTTTAAACAGCGAACTGCATTATCACAATTAAAGTTCCCTGTTATCTTAATTATCTTATTGCTGACTGTCCGCGTTTACAAGTGGCAACCTAAACTATCTGGCAGTACACTTATAAAGTTTTACTTTATTATAACCAGTTATTTTTAGTTGAACATTCCTGTTCCTGATTTCGGTTTCCTGCCGGTATGTAAATTCTATGACTTAAATGTAAATTCTCAATGTGTTTCAGAAGCAGTATTTAAGCTGCGTTTTAAGAGTTCAAAAGAACAGTAGCGGACTTAGTTCCGATGTTTATGCTGCGAGATTAAAATTAGCTCTCTAATTCGGTGTGTGATACCTTTCAAGTTTATACTGATATTCCTAAGTTCAGCTTTACTGTGTGCAGTCGATTTAGCGTTAGTTTAAGCTAAGGAGGCCAGTCGCTAGACTCCTTAATTTACTGGTGATTTGTTATATTCTTATTTTCTGTTACGTGGCCACAAGTGGTGGTGATTTGTGAGCACGCAGTTTGTGCATTTGTTTTAATTTAAATTTAATAAAAAGGTTACTTAAACCTTTTTTCTGCAGTATTTTGTTCTTAAAGGCGTAGCGAGAATTCGCTCTTAGTCATCAACGTAGGGTTTAAGAGTATATGCTTTCAAAAAATACACGCAGACTCTACACACCTCATGACGTTTCTCAGCAGTAGTATGTATTTGCGAGCTTTACTCCAAAGATCTGCTAGAGTTGGCCTCGAGATCCGAAGATATGGTATGGTGTATTTAACTATGGCAAAGCATACGAGAGCTATCTGCTTAAGGGGAAGGATGCTTTCGTGGAAGACGTTATAAGGCAACTTGCTCGTTTACACGTTATACATTGGAAAAACGCTCATGCAGCCAGCCCGTAGGCCGAAATTCGAACCTTGGACTGAACTACAACGACTTTTCCGCTTGGCCGCTGGTCTACTTCGAGATCCGAAATCCGAGCTATACAATCGTAGTTGGCTCGTAGCATTGAACAGGTGGTAGCAACGTAGCAGTGTATTGCTCAGACTCTGAAGAGTCCGAAACACAGAGTGGGAAAGCTGCATAAGCATCTAGTGGTACATTTTTTTATTATTAGGAGAAAATGATAAAAGAAAGTCTTGATTAAACTTAACGCAAATAAGTTATAAATTCTTAAATCTATTTTGCTTAGAATAACAAATTTAGGGGGGGAAATGATATGCTAAATTTTTTGGCATTCTCTGTATTTTTATATTTTTGTATTCTTAGAAAGTATTGATTGAACCCGTCTTAAAACTGCCAGGTTTGGGTTCTAGACTACTTTGAGATTGATCACCTTACAGACTGTAATATTTTCCTGCTAAGTATTGTTATTTAATTACATTCTGGATTACTGATCGTTTTCAAAGATTTTTCAGGTAGTTGCTATGAAACGTTTTCAAATACGTTTTACGTTTCACATTCCCACCGAAGATCGTTTGTTGATAATCATTGATTGTACATATATGGCAGCAAATAAGTTACATGCCCCACATTTTGACTGAATTTAACAGGATTATACACAAAAGACATCAACGACTGTTATAAGTCATTGTGTTGCCGTATGATTTGAACTTTTTCAAAAATGCTTTTTCGAGTAATCTGATCAATCTTTTTCTTGAACTTCTGTCGTATGATACATTCTTCAGTTCATTGCGCATATGTGAATTTTTTATTGGTAAGTGTGAAAATTTTTAATAATATAAATTCACGAATCAGTCACCACTTCAATTTAATTGAAATTTGCATTTGTATTACCAAATTGAGCAGCTATATTTTGCAAGGAAGTAATTTCCATATGTTATATTTAAACGTTCATATGAAACAACTCTCACCTTTTATAAGGTAGGTGTTGTCTAAGGTAATATAAAATAATATTTCTAGAGTTTGAAGCCGATTAAAAAATATTTACATCATATTTGTAAGAGCAAATGTTGTTCATTTTAGCAAAATTAGATACAGACAATAAACTACGGCGAAGGTAACTTCTGATAATTCTGTTAACGTATCAGAAAGTACTTAGAATTATAGGCTTATATGAAACATTACAATTCAAATTCGATGTGTATATCTCTTGTATTACTTGTAGTATCTTTCTCTTTCAGTTATCGTGCAAAGATACGATCTTAGTAATAAGTCCGGCGACTTCTCTCACAAACGTGAAGAAACAGCACACAGAGAAAGGGTTTAAATTGCTCTTTGATTTAATTAAATTCTTTAAAAAAACTGACGTACTTCGTGCTCATAACACCGACTTCTTATGGTAGGAGTGGTGTATCTCCAGGGTTCCTAGGTCAAAGACCTTACCATGGCATAATTCATGGTATATTAACCAAGCAATTTATATGTAAAGATATCACATTTTTTAAATACTTTAAACAAAGTAAAATTAAATTATGCAAGAATCGAAAATGAATTGAGAAAATTTTGGAAGTAGCAATGCATGAGTAGGAGGCAGTTAAAGGTAGCATCTGAGAAGTAAAATACGACTACCTGCGGTGGGAACTTAAGAACAATTGAACAATAACTTTAAATGGAAAGAGTAATACTGGACTACTTAAGACTAACAAGTGACTCAGCAAACTACATCGGCGACAGACTTTAATTAAGCGGCCAGAAAACGTAGCGGCAACTAAGATTTAACAGCAGAAAGACAAAATAGCAACGTGGGCTGTGCTAGCAAAATCACGCTCTAAGAAACTTTCTCTTTTCGCCCGTTTAAATACTCTTCTTCACTTTAACTTAATTTGTATCCTGGCGGGGAAATGCGAGGGGAATTGAGTAGTTCAGAAAAGATAACAAAAGAATAATTGATTATTCAAACTAAGGGAAACACTACATACTTACTCTTCAAATTTAGTTATTAGTTTTGTTGCAGAAAATTATAGCGTTACATTTTAGAATTTTACCTTTTTTGCAAAAGTTGTTTGATTTTTTCTCCTACATTCTCTCAATACTGGCAAATTTTGCATAGAAATTTGGTGAGTTATGAAAAAACTTTAGAAACAAAAGCGATCTTATGCTAGATGGTCACTAAGAGACCACACAAGAATTCAAAATTAGGAAAAAATAAATGTTATCGGAAACCTATGCTTCAAGTTGCAAGAGAGGGAATGACTATAGTGGAAGCTACATTTTTGTTAAAGAAAATGAGCAAATATAAACAGTATTGGTGGCAGTAATTTAGAATTCTGCTTCACAGAAAGATAAACGTCGCTACCAAATTTAGGAAATTAATTGTGTGTACACTATTTAAAGAATACGATTTATTAAAATCATTGAAAAATTTTATTACTTGATTTCATGATGAATTTTTAATGTAGAAATTAAGCAAACAGTGAAACATCTTTAACGCTGGAATAGCAGAATCTATTGCAGGAAACAAAAAAGGAAAGCTTCTTTTGATGAATATAGGAAAGAAATAAAATTGTCTTCATCATGCAAAAATTCTATTTTTAATTTTTTTATTGTTATTTATGAAAATAGAATAGCAGAACTTACTTGTAAAAATGAATTACATAAAAATAATGTTTAAAATTAAAAGTAGACCTAAATTTGTCTAAGATAGGGAAGTGAGTCTGTGGGAAATTTAAAACAGATATATAAAAATTAGGCAGATGAATTGGTACAAATTTTGTATATTTAAAATAAAATAAAGGTGAATGCAATACTGTTCCACAAATGTAAGTTTGCAAGAGAAATTTTGTCACCATTTCCAAATACAGAAATCATTTTACGAATATTTTGACTATTTCAATTTCCTCCAATGAAGTATCATTCATTCATTTTTCTTTATCTTAGTTACTGAACAAAAAAACGATATGAGAAGGAAGATTTTAGATATAACAGCATGGCACTGTGGATATTTAGAGCAATTGTGATAATGTAGATATCTGGATTATATTTGGAGCAACAAATATTAAATAATATGTATATCTTGAAAATAAATGAAGAATTTCTAAATATCCACAGTTCACAGAAAAATCGAGAAGAAAATTATGAAATATTCTAATTATTACTTATTTAACTCAATCAAGTATTCCAATCTATAAATATTTCATGCAATGTATATTTTAATTGTTTTTTATGAAATATTTAACTTTTTAATATCTTTTTTATTTCTACGTACCTTAGGCTAGGTATTACTAAAAAGTAGTAGAACAGTATTTAGAAATAAAAATATTAAACCATTATTTTATTAAATTACTAAAGTTAAGTAATTATATTTGATAAAATTTTTATTATACTTCTGCAGTATATAAGTATGAGAACACTTTCTTTGAGGCCCAGCAGATTTAACCGCCAATGGCTCCCGGTCCCTCTCTTGTTGACCACATGATGT